TTGATTCTCCAAGTGTTTGGCAAGTGGCTTGGCCTAAGCGTAGGCACCCCTCTCTTGTTTTATTTTGTCGTTTTAATGGCTAATAGTTTAATCTTTATTATTCTAATCAAAGAATCGTTCAAATTCTTATTGCATCTATTTAACAACATCCTAGTCCTACATCAATTTCTCTCTTACCTTAATATCTTCAACTAAGAGTTATAAGCCTCAATAGTACATAACTTTTGTCACCCTTTAAAAGAATTTTTATTTTACTAAACATTTGTACTTCCTCAATCGGCCACAGAACCTCTTTATTAATATAGAATATATTTTTAGACTCTCCTAAAACTTTTAGGACAATCTTTTTAATGGAACAAGCAAGCCATCATATCCTAAATTGGGATTGCTCAACTATAATTCTAGTTTGCCTTTTTAGCTACAAATCTAAAAAAAGTAATAATCTTTTCATACACTATCAACAAATCCTATGTCAATCATCCCATATGCTTCTTTTTATAATCTTAAGACAAACATCCATGATTACAATTCTATATTGGGTGGTCAAATTCTCTCATGGAATCACCTAAAATTTTTGTAAAATGATATTCGTTTCCATCTAGTTAAATGAAATCCATTTGTGATTTGATGGCTCCATATTTGACTGTAATTAAATGCATTTTCATTTCATTAAGTATGAATTTACTATTGTAAGAACATAGCCTATATAGGGAAATGAAATATAACTTCTCCCTTTAAATTTCTATCTCTTACTTACAAATAATGAATTCTCTCATAACCCATCGAACCACAACTTCTAATGCCTATTTAAGTTCCCAAATAAATCAATTTCCTTCCACAGGTGTACAAGATAATAAATCATCAATCTCTTGCAAAGATTGATCACCTCCCAATCCAACTTGAGGAGCATAAATACTAACCACATTTATAATATCATCAATCATTAGCTTAATTGAAATCATCTTATCACTAATCCTTCTCATCTCAACAATTTTATGTTATTCTTATTCACTATTATATCAACTCCATTGAAGTTGTTTACCTTTCCAATATACAACAAATAATAACCTTCCACAATGCCCTTGAATTTTTTTCTTCTTTTCTATTTAGTTTCTTGTAAGCAAGCAATTATTATTCTTTTTCTAATTACTGTGTTTCCAATTCCCTTATCTTACAATTCAAAGTCCCCAAACTCCTATAGTTCTAGACTACTTAACCATTGCTTATTTTTTACCAACATTGGGTAACACCATGATTCACCACTTGCAAGTGGCATCATAATCAACCCTTGCTTTATTTTCACTATGATCAGATTTTTGTGTTGCAACAATTTAAGTGGACTTCCTGGCTCTCTTTAAAACTTACAAGAGTCCATAATTTGAAAATTTTCCACTATTTCCTAATGTCAAGTCCTCCTAAAATCCTAACCTTAATAATCAAGTAAGCAAATATTGCGTTACCTGCAAAACTAAGCCAAATCTCCATTCTGATGTTTGGAAAAGGAAAAGAAGCCTTCATATCAACAACAGACACATCTTAAAAAATTCACTGGCCACCCAAAGATAAAAATAGTTATCTCTTTGTGCAGTTGAAGAGTCAGCCTTTGAATCATGAATAATTCCGCAGCTTCGATTGCATTGAACTAAAGCATCCGTGCAATCATATGTAAAAACACTGCTTTTGTAAGGCATAAAGAGTCCCTAGCTTACTGAAAACAAGCAGCGAAATTAAGAAATAGATGCTTTCATTGACTTTCACTTCATCTTGAACCAGAATAATGATCGAAACTCTTCAGCTTGAAACTGAGTGCAATGCACTAAGCGAAATTTTTAATATGCTTTATTATAATCCTTATGTAGTTAATTGTGGTTCCACCAAATCTGAGAATAATTCATGATTTTTTTAAGCCTATTGGCACAACGGTAAAAAAGGTGGAAAATCGTACAAAATAGACATTTAACATATGAATTAGCTAGGGTTCAAATCAAATGCTCAAATATTAGAGGAATTCCTTCAAGTTCTTTCTTTGAAATACATAGACAAACTTGTAAATCTAAAGCTATTTCTTGGAATTGATTTAAGAGATCTACATTGTTAACTTAAGCATTTATTGCCATCATGAACCATTCAGTGAAACTAATACTTAAGAATTTCAGAAAGGTAGATCCAAGCTCTTCCTCTTGATATTCTTCAAATCGGACTACTTTCCTTGACAACATTTTTATAAATCACCTTGCGAGACTACCCAAAGCATTTCTCTAGAAACTAGGGATAGAACCAAACATGAGTAAACATCCACCAATATCAATGATTGAGTTAATACAAAATTTGGGAAAATTAAGTTAGCGAGTACGTATTACTTTGAAGTAGTTGGGAATTCTCTACAATAGCTTCCTCTTAGCTAGATTGTAAGCATGTGAGATTTTAAAAAAATTCAATAGTAAAATCCTGTTTTCGTCCCATCAGAAGAAAGTTGAAATAGCTAGTAAAGTAATAAAATAAGTGTTCTTAATTTTCAAGACCTATAAAGGAAATATGAAGCTTAGGACTCAATTTCTTTCCTGGTCACAAAGTTCTTTTAGATTCATGTCAAACTAGTCTTGATATGCATGAATATCATAAAACAGTTTCGACGTGGCTAGGGGAAAGGGCTGAAAGTTCATAGTGAATTAGCACTTTGCAATAATTATTATTTCAACTCTATTTGAAGACTTAAAATTAATGTTTCCCAACATAATTATAGCAAACTGCAAGGCCGAGAAAATGAACCCATATAATATATTAAATCTGATGTGTTTCAATACTTCTCTGAAGAAGGATCAACCTTTCCAAAAGCACCACACACTCAAGGTAATATGACTATCAAACACCTAAGGTGCTAGGTGCCATCATTCACACTAGCTCAAGCAAAGTGCGGTGCTATCAATAAATTATTATATCGCTTCAAAATTTATTCATCTATTAGGAATATTTTTTAAGAAGATAAAATGTTCAATCATCAAATTTAATTATGCTAGGAAAAAAAATTGAACTTTCAAGTTTTATTACTTTTCAAGTTCAAAAAACTTGTTATTTGTTAAATAGAGCACTTTAAGCAAGTGTGATAAAACTAGTTCAGCACATGTATACCAAGAAATTATCTAATCTTCAATAAAACTTATTCCATCAGCATTATTATACCTGCTTTCTTGTCTATTGCTAGATTATAAGCCTCCATCTCTTACTTTGCTATGATAGTCACATCTCTTCATCTTCAATATTTATAATGCTTTCTTGTTTATTGTTGGATTTAAAAACCTCCATCACTTACTCTGCTATGATAGGCACGTCTCTTCATCTTCAATATTTATAACTCGAGAACTTATATTCTTAAACCAAGATTTCATTAGCTTATTTCCTGTTTTGTTAGATTTTCATCTCTGCATCTCCAACTATTATTGCTCATTTCACATCATCCCAAGTCAAATTATCATAATAAAAAACTAACTTGACTTCAACATTTCAAGTATTAGCACAAATCCATTAAATCAATGTAACTCACTAGAAAAACAAGACGCTCAATAGGAATACTTTAGAAAGGGCACCCACCTAAGCAATAAGCAAGTCAATGTGGCCTCATCACACCTAGCGCTAGCACCCAAGTGAGCACTCAACTGGCCTTTATCAAATACATCTAGGATGTCTTGAAGGGCAATTTGCTTTAAAATTTCTTATACTTTATTAAAAAAATTAATAAATTATCAGAAAGTAAAATATTTTGGATCATTAAATCCAAATAAAGGGAACTGTGCAAAAAATTCTGATTACAAGCCAGCTAATTTACTTAAAATGAACTTTCAAAGCTAACATAAAAACTTCTTGACGGAAGACAACCTCAAAACAATTGTACATTAATCAGCAATTCTTAAATTGCTTTTTCTCAGCATTAGACTTACTTTGATAGTTTTAATCTAATTAATCAAATTACAGACGACTGTGTCTCTAAATTTTTCCTTATCTTTAAATTTTGATGATTAAAATATCGCTTGAATATATCATTCACTTTATTTGAGTTTCATCCTTTAAACATAAGAGCATTTGGTATGAAAATATGATCATAAGGGTAACCAATATTCTAAATTCAACTAGGTAAACTATGTTACCCAATGCAGCTTTAAGTTACTTGTACAGGAAAAGCTACTGCAATAATGTGCTACAACCCCACTATTTTTTGTTCTCTAAGCAGATCTTAATAAGACGGCGAACCAATCATATCAAAATACTCTAATCAACTCCATTAATCTTGAAATATTAGACTGGTGCTCAGATGCGTAAGAGGCATGTGCATGTACACAAACATAAATACAGGCACATGGAAGGAAGTTTGAGGCTGTGGAGAACTAAGAGGAGGTTCGTCCAGTCTATATCTTCGTTCCAAGCTGCATTGGAATAGAAACAGAGTTTAAAAGGGGCAAGTTCAGAGGCTGCGAGCAAAATGAAGGACCAGAGGAAGGATGGCAGAGAGCGGAAGAAGGGGCCTGCCAGCGTGATAAAGACAGGGAATAGCGCAAGCAATTTGGAGCGAGAAGGGAACTAAATCTGCGACATTCATAAAGAAAAGAAATGGCACAGGGCCGACGACTGAAGACGGAAGGAGAGCAAAGGAGGGGCAAAGAACGATCGCTTACTTAAGACCTGAGAACGGCGGCAACGGCGGTGAAATAATATCATGTAGATGAAGTCAGAGTATCAGTGCCCCAGCAGCATGGAATCGAAGCCATTGTGTGGAAAGAGATGGGAAGACGGAAAGTAAGATGGAGCGAGGAAAGAACACATTGTACACTGGTGAAAAAAGATGATGGTGCAGATCAAGTTCAAAAGGCAGCACCATATCCATCTAGCGGCCCGAAGTAGAAGATAGCAGCGATGGATTGAGGAAGGATAGAATAAAACCGATACAGGGAGAGAGGAAGCGAGAGTGAGAAAGGAATAGATGCAGAAAGCGGGAACAAAGAACTTACCTCAATCTCGGTGACGGGTAAACGGAGGCAGATAATAAGCGTATCTCTGAATGAAGCCGACCGCGCCGGTAAGAAACACCAAGAGAGATTGAAAACCAGGCGGCAATCTCAAGGAAGATGAAGACAAGGAGTGAAATCTCCGCAACCCTAACACGATCGTGCGAGATGTGAATCTGGAAAGCTCTCCAAAAAATGTTCACGGGTTCGGCCGCGAACTTTTCTTCTTCTTTTTTTTATATATATATATAGTAAATATTCGGACTCGAGCTGAACCGGCAATCGGTTTTCCGTACGTCCGTACTTAACCGGCACAGGACAGGTCGGGCCGCGGATGAAATCGAATCAGAATTTGAAAATTAGGATTCACACAGGGCTTTCATTGAGTCGGGTCGGGTCTCTTCGGCTCAGCTTGGCTCCTACCGATTAGAGACATTTTCAAGTCGGATCAGGTCAATTTTAAAGGTAGGTCCGGAATGTCTTGGCCTAATAAGATTATTGGTCGGAAGAGCGGGTCTCTGGGCTCATTTCCAGTGTGTAATTCATCCATCTATCACTTAGTAAACTAGTAAGCTGATTTGAACTCGACTCAATTAATGGCTCGTGAGCTGAGCCTGACGAACGAACGAGTCAAGTTTGAGCCAGCTCTAACTCGACTCAATAGCTCATGAGCCGGATCGTTTAATTTATATTGATGTAAAAGAAACTTAAAATATATTAACATTCATGATTTTAAGAACAAGATTTGTTAAAAACGTTTAAAAATTGCATATCACTTTCTTATATTAAAATAATTCTTTATTTTTTTCTAACTTATCATTCTTTTAAGCATTTTATTATAATAATTGCATGAATAATAATTATTTTCTCACTTTTGTATTACAAAAGAGTCGCCTCATAAGTCGAATCGAGCTCATAGAATAAAACTCAAGCTTGAGTTTGAATTTGATTAATTAAATCAAGCTCAAGCCAGAGATGACTCGAGCTCGATTTACTCGTTTACAGCCCCGTCTATCTTCGAGTGCCCCCATATTCTCAGTTCCTTGAGCTGGAAAAAAAAAACTCCTTTCTAGGAAGAGCACATGGCAAGTTTAATCAAAAGGTATTTAGCTCAAATGCTCAAGCAAGGCTTCTTAGACCTTCAATACCTAGATTCAGAAGACTCTTCACAATCTCAAACAAATATTCAAACAATAATTTGCCACTCTATCAAACCACCTTCACAGTCTATGATAGTCTCAAACAAGCATTCAGACAATACTTTGCCACTTTATCAAACTACCTTCACAATATCAGATTTAAATCCATCTCAATCGACCCATTTCTCGTGATGTACAATGGAGAAAACACAAACATATACATCCTAAGAAATATAGATGACATTTTGTTTGCTAACAATAATCATACAACCACAAATACATTGTTGCAAACTCTGCAATAGCACTACAACATGCAGAACCTAGGAGAAGTCTCCCACTTATTTGGGTATACACATAATATAAAAAATCAAGCTACCAATATCATATCAAGCCCAAAATGTCTCAACACTGCTACAAAGGTCTAGCACAAGCTTCTTCGTAACTAACAATAATAAAAGACACAATTACAAAGTCGGACACTAAAGTCAACAGCCAAGAACTTCTTAAAACACTTTGTTAACTATCTTCAATACCTCACTATTACTCAACCAGACATGCTTGTCTTCAATTATGCACCACAACACATGCACAAGCTCTTCAATATCCACTTCCAACAGCTCAAGTGAATTCTTCAATGTATAAGCATCACTATCAGCCTACGCGTCCACAAAGGTAATATTTGACTCCATGGCTAATACTCAGATTGGGTTGGAGTTACCATCGACCGCAAATCTACTACCATGTATTATGCCTTCCTTAGAAAATACACTTATCTCCTAGTGTGTGAGAAAGTAACTACAGTGAATTGCACCTCGATAGAGGTTGAATATTGTGCCTTCGTTACTATTGACACAAACATTACATAGCTTTGTCAACTACTATAGGAATTACATATTCTCAGCATTCAACTAACAAAGCTTCATCACAACAATAACTCGACCCTTGCTTTGACAAACAATTCAATATTTCACACTCACATCAAAGATATTGAAATAAACTAGGGGGTGTCAATTAATGACACGACCCAAAAAATTCGACAATAATCTGACCCAAAAATTTTGGATTCCTAATTCTTGACCCATTTTAAAAAAAACGGGCAGTGTTCGGGTCAACCCACTAAGCCAAAATCTACATGAGTTTGACCCGTGTTCTCATCCTGCATCGTGTCGTGAAAGCAACCCACACCTTTGTCATGCTCACCTGCTTGCGATCACACCCTCGCTTAGCCTAGCACCCGCGCTCACACAGTCATGCTCGACTCTTACCTGCTCGCACCCACGGTTAAAGAATGGGATCGAGTCAGCCCGGATAAGGAGTGAGTCAAGTCCATGTTTGAATTTATGACCCGTTTGTCTAATTAAGTCGAATCAGTTGAAGGCGAGACTGTTTCGAATTGGATTAGAATCCAACCCGAAAACTCATTTTGATACCCCTAAAATAAACTTCCATTCACAAGTGCATTGAATTCAAGGTATCACAGTGCATCGCACTAACCCAAAAACCAACTAGTCAACATCCTCCCTATAGCTCTATCATTATCATGATTCCAATCAATTTAGACATAAGTTGATTCTCCACAAGAAGACCGTCAACTTACAAGGGGATAATAACGATATAAAGCTCCTACAATTGTGAGAAATGTTATAGTGACTCTCTCAATCTCTATCACTGTGCATCTTTATTTCTTGCTTTGTTTTTTTATCTACTTCATAGGGTTGCAAATGCACTGAGCGTTCAACAAGAAACTTGTGGCTTGGCTCGATTATAGCTCATTCATGATTTTTTGATTAAGAAATCAAATAAACTTCTTTATAAATAATGTTAGGAACTAAATACATTTCTTAAAATTGACTTAAATATTTATTTAGTATATTTTCATATAATTTTTGTTTTATTTTAAGAAATTATTCTTATTTTTATAAAACAATTAATTTATTTTTTTTTGATATTCTTTCATTGAAATGAATATGTTCATGAACAAGAGGTATTTATTTATGTTTGTTGGATTGTTTATTTGAAATGTTCATTAATAAGTTTATTTATAAGAAGAATTATTTTCTGAGCTCATTTGTTAGTGAGTGGGTTTGTATGGTAACTTAAAAGCACTTACTAGATATGTTGGTGATTTGACTCGTTTGATAGCTCAAAAATAATCGTTAAATATGTTCGCTAATATACTCTATAATAATTGTTTGTTAGTAGGCTCGATAATGCTTGTCTGTTAAACTAATGAACATTTAAAAAGTAAAGCTCGTTAATAGTTCAATTAGACTTATTTTTTTGAAACACTATAAGCATGAAACGAATCGAACATGAACTAAACATAAACATATATAATTTTAAATGAACCAAACTTGAACACAAATAAAAAAGTTTGAATAAAATCCGATCCGAGTTTAAACAAGCTGATTATAAATAAGCTCAAATATGAAAAAGCACCTGCATTGGTCGACCTATTCATTTGCAACCTCCCCACTCGTGAAATGCAACTTCTCTGACTCATATTCTCAAAATAATTCATGTACTAGAATTAAAAGACATGAGCATAAAGAGAAAGATAGATAAAGCTTACCAATTTCTTATAATCTCATACAACTCAACATTATACTCCTTGTCAATCATCAAGAATTTTTTGGGTTATCCAAGTGGTTTAGTGTGACATTTCTAATAAAAAGCTCGTCCATCATATTTAACAAAAATCAAGAAACAAAAAAACTATGATGGGGACTCTTAGGTTAGGTAGCTTGATCATAATCCAAAAACATTCAATTGATATAAGAAATTAACATTTATAAGTATAAAATTTAGGGAATGAAAATCTTTCTTATCTATAAAAAACAATATCCAAATATTTATATTTATTAATAATAACAATCAAATTAAAAAAAAAAACAAGATAAAATTTCTTTTATTGTAAATCATTTTGTATATTCTTAATACATAAATAAATTTAAATTGCATGTAAATAAATCTTCCTAAAATTTCATGAAAAAGTTTAATTATAATATCCTAATTAATATTTAATTAGAATATTGTCCAACAAGTTCAGCTTGTCCATCATAAAATTTTATAGCAAAGCCAGTGTTTTTTTGTTTTTTTTGCCAATAATCCATAAAAACAGTGCATTTTAGATTCTGGTGATAAAACAAAATTACTAAAAATCACATAAAAAAGTGCTTTCTATATAACATATTAAGGTCTTATTTGGGAGGACTTTCTTACTGTTACTTAAAATAATTTTTTAATAAAATAAATAAATTTATTTACTAAAAACTATAATAAAGCTGAGATAATTTTCTTATTGATTTCTAAAACAATTTTTTAGTTTAAAATATTTTTGTACTATAAAGCTGCTTTAAAAAACAATAAGAAAGTTTTTTCATTTGAGATAACTTTTGATCACTATTTTTTTCTTTGATACTTACAAGAATTTTTTTGTACTAAAAAATAGCTTTTAAAAATCAATAAAAAATGTCTCAAACAAACAAAGCCTAAATAGCACGAATTGAACAAGAGATACAACCAAAATATTTATAAAAGAAATTTGAACATCCACGAACTCAATATCATTTTGTAATGGAGTAAAACGCATAATTCCACTATCAACACGTAAAAGACAGCAATCTGCAGATATCTATGATCAAACAAATGCAATGCATACACAATATGATTAACCATCCACACACCTTACAGTGAAGAAACGCATCATAATCCCTCCCCATTTAATCCAAATCCAATATCTATTAAGGGATTTCTGCAACTAAGGCTGAAAGTTGCCGGGAACATTCAAAGCTTCCTGTAAGTGCTTCACAGCATTATCATAGTACAAAAATCCCATGAACCAAAACTCATGGTTATCAACCGATACAATCTGGATATACTTTTCAGATGGGTTTACATGGCTAGTTGAAGGATTGACTGATCTCAGTTGGCGCAGAGGAATAACAACCTGTTCTTAGGACGAAATAATTGTCAGCAAAAGTTTACAATAGGTAACAAAACAAAATCTAAATGCTGTCATATGATAGGATAACTAGGTTTCTAATATTGCAAAATGTGATATTCGGGTGGTATGAATTTAGAATATCATAATTGAGGATATTCTCTCTTTATTAGTTTCCTCTAATATGATAGGGTAGAAAGTAGGGGTATCAATATTTGACATGACTTGAAAACCCGATCTGAACCCGAACCGAAAATTCCAGGTTAGGATCAACCCGTTTGAGAAATGGGTCGGGTTTGGGTTGACTCGGAAACTCGAAACTAACTCGGTTTGACCGGGAACTTGAATTGACTGCGTCAAGTCACGTCGCCATCGCATCATGTCCACACATAACACGAGTCAATCAGCCGTCCGCACGTCAGCCACTGTCACATCAAGCCGCGGGTCCGGCACCGGCTTTCGCCTCCTTGTTCGCCATAACGTCTGAGCGCGAGAGCCTCCCTATTTCGACTTTCGCAGCTCCGTTGTTCGCCATGCTACCTGAGTCGCTCCGATCAGACACCACCTCACCCACGCTGGCCTCGCTTGCCGCCTGCCGCCATGTCGCCTGATTGCCTGAGCCGGTGAGCCTGCGCTGGCGGGCCTCGTCTAACCCTTTTGGTATGTGGGTCGGGTCGGATCGACCCAGTAACCCGCACGGGTAGGGTCCGGGTTGACAATCCTAACCCGTTTGCAAAACCAGGTCGGGTTAGTGTCGACTCGTTTATGGCCGGGTCAAGTTGGGTTCAACTCATACTCAACCCGTTGACCCGAATTGACACCCCAAGTAGAAAGAGGTTAAACTAACCCTATATCCATCTTTACCCAATCTTTCTGACCGCAACATGTTCACTCACTAGCCTAAATCACCACACTCATGCCCTAGGAGCCTCACCCATCCCTGCTCACACGTATACCTACTAGCTGTGTTTGTGCTTGCACCCCTCGCTATACTTGTGCTAAGCTTGCAGGCATGCTATCTATGCCTACTCACTCCAATAGCATCACCTATAGCTCTTAGCTCGGGCCCATGTGCACTCTCTCAATCTTGCTATCATGCCCACTCCCTACTCAAGTTCGCACACTCTCTTACAACACTGCTCATCACTACCACTTGAATTCTCCTCTCCCTATGTCCCAATCGGTGCACGACTTCTCATTCTTATCTTAATAAGTCAAAATCCTCATTCACCATCAATCAATATAAAATTTAATTGTACCACTTCTCTCATATGGCCAACCTCTAATATAATAATGACACTGTCAAATTCTTAAGTGACAAGAAATATGATTATGTTGTTTTTATTAGATTAATTAATAGTCTGCTTGATAACAAATGTCTACTTTTGCCCTTTCCTTCATTATTATTCTTTTTCGTTGGCTTTGTTGGCAAGATAATCCTCTTGCCAATAGACTTCAGGAATTTGTCATTATTTATTCATCTCGATCAAAATTTGGCACATGAGAGTATTAGATATTGGTTCTTATTTGACATGCTATTTCTGTTTTGAGTTTAGTCTTTGTTTTAGGCTTTTTACCTTTTCGCCCCTAAAGGTTGTTTTAGTATAAATAGGTGTGCTTTGTATTGTGTCAAAAAGAGAATTCTAATAAGAATTATGTCCAAACAGTGAGCTCCCCTCCCCCCTCTCCCCTCTCACGACGGAGACAGCAAGAAGTAGCAACGGTGGAAACAGCTAGGTGCTGCTGCCTGGCGGGTCCAGGAGAGGGAGATTACAGAAGAGGTGACCAGTGGGTCAGGCGGAGCCGGTGGGTGCTAAAGAAGAAGGTGCAGGAATTCAAGATCTCTTCCTTCTTGGTTTGTTTTTCTCAACAAGTGGCAGCAGAGTTTGGTCAAGAAAAATCAAGGGGAAGGAGGAAGGTGTTTCTTGAACTCAAGAAGTGGAGTTTCTTTTCTTGGCTGTTTTTTGAGTAAACAGCAGGTGGAAGGGAAGTTTCCTAGGCTGTTTTTCCCTGGACATCAGGAGTGGAAACTTTCTTGGTTGTTTTTCCCTTGACAGCAGGTGCAAGAAAGGTTTTTATGGACGGTTTTACGCTGGACAGCAGGTTTCCATGCGGACAGCAGGTGAAGGAAAGAAGGTTGACCGGCAGTGGAAGCTTTCTTTGCTATTTTTCTAAGACAAAGCAGGAGAAGAAGTTGGCCGGCGGTGGAAGCTTTATTGGCTGTTTTTTTTCTGGACAGCAGGAGAAGGTGGCCAGCGGCAGAAGCTTTCTTTGCTGTTTTTCTGGACAGCAGGAGGAGAAGGTTGTTGGCGGCGGAGCAATTTTTCTTTTGGCTGTTTTGTGAATAGCAGCTGATCTGAACGGCTGAAAGCAACATTCTTCAAGGAAAATGTCCATGGCTAAGCTTGAAATTTAGAAATTCACAAGTCTCAATGATTTAAGCCTATGGAGGTTGAAGATGAAGGCTCTGCTAGTTCATCAAGGTCTTGATGCAGCCCTATCGGAGGAAGGGATATTGAGGATAGAAGAAAGATTGCGCATGGATGTGCTTAACAACGCACATAATAAAATCCTATTGTGCCTAGGAGATGAAGTTCTAAGGGAGGTTGTAGATGAAGTAACGGATATAAAGATTTGGGAAAAATTGAGATCTTTATATCTCAAAAGCTTTCTAGCTAAATGGCTTTACCTCAAAAAGAAGTTGTACACCTTGCAAATGGATGATTCCAATCCCTTGAACAAGCACTTAGAATTCAACTGGATTATCTTAGATTTGAAAAGCATAGGAGTGAAGATTGAAGAAGAAGATCAAGCAATCATTCTACTAAGCTCATTATCTTCTAGGTTTGAGTATTTTGTGAACACCTTGTTGTATGGAAATGAGACTCTTGCTATGGTAGAAATAAAGGATGCACTCAACTCCAAGGAGATTCAAAGGGGGGTTGAGGTGAAGCATGAAGGTGCAATTGACGCCCTTGCCGTGAGAGGTTGACCCAAGAAGAGGGAGTCCAAAGCTAAGAACCAAAATCGATCCAAGTCTAAAGGCAAGGTGAAGTGCTTCTTTTGTCACAAGGAAGGCTACTTCAAAAGACAATGATCGAAATTGAATAACAAACATTGAAACAAAGAAAGTAGTGGATATGCCTTATTTGTAGAGGAAGTGTATGAAAGTTCAGATGCCCTTGTAACCTCAAATACTGAGTCTAACAAGAAATGAATACTTGATTCTGGGTGCTCTTACCACATGCATCCAAACCGTGGGTGGATTGAAGAGTTGGAAGAGAATGAAGGTGGCTTGGTGTTCTTAGGGAACAACAAATTATGTAAGATCCAAGGGCAAGGTAGCATTCGGTTGAAGCTCCATGATGGATTGGAGAGGGTTCTCAAGCAAGTGAGATATGCACCAGAACTTAAAAGAAAGCTTGGTTTGCTTGCTAAGATGTTCCCTATATTGATTGAAGCAATCTCCAAGGATGTGGTATCAAGGCTTTCATACCTTCATGCATAATGTTGGCTTCAAAAGAAGTAGACATGATGTTTGTGTTTACTTGAAGGCAAAGGAAGCAAGTAGGGCCATTTATTTACTTCTTTATGTTGATGATATGTTGTTGGCTAGCTTAAGCATGAAGGACATTCAAAGTTGAAGGAATTGCTCAAGGATGAACTTGATATGAAGGATCTTGGGGCTGCTAGAAAGATCCTTGGTATGGAAATTGAGAGGAAGAAGGCGAGTCAAGAGTTAGTGCTATCTCAAAGCTCCTACATTGATAGTGAGGTGAAAAGATACAACATGGAATTGTCAAAATCTGTTTCACCTTCTTTTGCATCTCATTTCAAGCTTTGAAAGGATCAAAGCCCTAAGGAGAAAGAAGAAAAGGTATACATGAGCACGATTCCTTATCAGAATGATGTGGGAAGCATCATGTATGTTATGGTTTGTTGTAGGCCGGATTTGGCCTATCCTCTCAGTGTCATTTCAAGGTTTTTGATTGATCCATGGAAGTCTCATTGGGAGGTAGCAAAGCGGTGCTTAGGTACCTCAATGGAGCTACATATTTGGGTTTGAAGTAGATCAAAATTGAATGAAGATGTCCACTTTGGATATGTTGATTCATATTCTGCAGGATGTAATGACACTAAAAGATCTCTCACCAGTAATATATTCAAGGTATATGAAAATACCGTGATTTGGAAGTGCAAGCTACAACTTGTTGTGGCCTTATCTACTACTGAAGGCGTCTACATGGCTGCAACCGATACAATGAAGGAGGCTATTTGGCTCAAAGACTTGTTGACAAAGTTGGTCCATCCTATTTCAAAACCAATGAAGATTATTTGTGACAATCAAAGTGCTGTTCTCTTATCTAAGAACCCTACGTTTCATGAAATGACTAAACACATTGACATCAAGTTTCACATTCTCAAAGAAAGTGTGTCAACTGGTGTGGTGGAGATTGTGCAAGTATATACATAAGATAGCACATTTGATGTGTTGACCAAAGCTTTTCCAAATCATAAGTTTCAGCGTTGCTTAAACTTGTTAAGGATGGTAAGGGAGAAATCCTAGCATTAGATGTTGAGCACATTTCAAATCAAGAGCCAAGGTGGAGATTGACAACTCGTGTGGTGGATATTGGTTCTTATTTGACATGTTATTTCTATTTTTTAGTTTAAGTCTTTGTTTTAGGCTTTTTACCTTTTTGCCCCTAAGGGTTCTTTTAGTATAAATAGAGGTGCCTTATATAATTTCAAAAAGAGAATGCCTAATAAGAATTTTGTCTAGATTTTCCATCCAAAACAGTGAGCTCTCTCTCGACCCTGACAAGAAGAAGTAGCAACAGTGGAAACAGCCCGGTGTTGTTGGCCGGCAAGCCCAGGTGTAGGAGAATGCAAAAGAGGTGACCAACGAGTCAGGAGGAGCTAGTGGGTGCTAGAGAAGGTGCAGGAATTCAAGATCTCTTCCTTCTTGGTTTGTTTTTCTCAACAAGTGAGTTGGTAAACACTATAGTTCATCTTTTCCATCTTGTAACACTAATTGTCATCCTATATACTTAGTTCTCTCTTCCTATATACTTAGTTCAATCAAACATTTTGGGCCCTAGACTTGTCCTTATTGACCTAGGATTTTGTTATTTTATCATATTCATTGATGATTATTAACACATTACTTGGATTTATTTGCTCAAATGTTGTCCAGTGGTACTTAATGTATTTCCAAATTTTTATCAAGAAATTCAATTTTAGTTTCCACTTTAATTAAAAATTTACACGCGCATAAAAGATAAGCATTACGCAATTTCGATTTCAATTTCACACTTTCTACTTTGTCATATTATTACTCGACAAACATTTTGTCTAAATACATCTCAATAGAATGACATTGTAAAATATAAAAATAGACATCTTGATGTTGCAAGAATGGTGATGTTTCATATGAATATCCTTCATCAGTTCTACAGAGATGTCTTGAGAGCTTGCTATCTCATCAACCCTTATGTTCTCTTTTGTAGGCAATACTATCTAATACATCTCCAACCTTTATAAATATCAAAATAGTTATCCTTCATATTGTGGATATTCGGTTGATCTACTTTCACCATAATTTTCACTTGTCAATCTACTTTATCATGCTATTTGGGTATTGTCGCAGTAAAATAGGTTAATGGCATAATGACCCCCTTACTTGTGATTGTAAACTCCAAACAACATAAACTATAAGACTACATCTTTCTTTTCTCACTCTAAATCTAAGAAACATTTACCATATATTTCACTTTTCTGAAAACTCTTACACCTACCTCTATGCATCTATGATCTTGACCATTGATTAGAGAAAAATTTAGGCATAAAATATCCTGTCAAATAACAAAAAAGATAATTTTAAATCCTATAAACTTACATCAATAGATTTGAGCAGGATTTAAGCATAATTTAGCTTAAATCCTGCCAAATAGCAAAAATAATAGCTTTAATTCTTTAAAAAAAAAAGTCAAATCACTTTTAGTTTTTTTTATATTTTATTAATTTTAAGTTTAATTAATTAATAATTAATTATGATATTAATATATAAACCTACAAAATTTAATTATAATTTATAATTTATAACATTGTAACAAAATCGCGTGCGCCATTGCCCATCTATAGTGCAAATAGTGCGCGCTATTTTGATGTGCTGGGCCACGCCATGCGCCATGATGCATGCCAGTTTTCGCCATTGACATGTATGCATCATTCATTTATCAAATTCATTATGTACATTTGTCTTGTTTGTAGTCATCTATATCTACTCTCAGGGCATATCAAGATGCACTACAAAATCCTTTATGGAGACACTATTGATGTTTAAACAAGCACTCTTCTTAAACATCATGCATGGGATTTGAATGTTCTTCATCCTAGGGTTAAACCAATTAGTTATAATTACGTGTTCAATATGCAATTTGATCTTAATGAATCGATTGCCCGATAAAAAGCTCAATTGGTTACAAAAAGATTCATATATAAGAAAAGCTATTTTCACACCTTATTGGCTGTTCGACATAGCTCCATCAAAATTCTTCTATCTACTACTATCAATCGAGGAAGTACTATGCTAAAAATGTATGTGAGTGATAGGATCCTCTATGATGACCTAAAAGAGGCATAATCTATTGAGCATCCTCCTATGTGTGTTAAAAAAAAAAAAAACCTCCTATGTGTGTTGCAAAGGAGGAGAAGCGCATATGCCTACTTAGGAAGGCCATGTGTGGACTTAAATAGGGTTTATTAGATTGGTTTGAAAATTTTTATGAAGTCCTAGTTGAGATTAGTCTTCACAACAATAATATAACTCATTATATCCTCATTAGTCACGCATCATTAGGCCCTATCATACGAGATGAATGATTGTGGAACCCACAAGTCAAACAATCTTGATAGGGATCCTTAAATACACAAATTAAGGGTTCTAACTATTGGATCAATCCTCATAGCTTGCAATCTGTGTGCCTCTTCATGTTATTATAGCTGTCAGCCCATCTAGTGGACTTTTTTTTCTTTTTTTTTTAATAGCTTTGATTTAATTACATGGTAAACCTTTTGAAAAAATCTATAAATACTTCCAAACTTTATATGGAATCAAGAAATAGTTCTTTTTTTTCTATTTTCTTCTTTTCGGCCTTAGTTATTCGTGTTGATGATATCGTACTCCAAGTGATGATAATCACATCTCTGAAGTAAAACACTACTTACAAAAGTGCTTCGATCAAAGTACTCTTTTGGAGTTCAATTTGCTTAAAATAAAAGGATGATATCACTATCTCAAAGGAAATACACTATTAAACTTGAAGAAATAGGTCTTCGTTGTTGCAAGCTAGCTGATATCCTTAGAGAAATCCAAATCACATCTGCTAATGAAGAACTGAATAATTACTTAATGATCCGTCTCAATATCGAATGTTAGTTGATGAGTTGATTTATATGATTGTTACCAAACCTGACATTTCATTCATCATTAATGAGGTTAATTAACACATGAAAATAAAAAATAAAAATGTTAGGAAGTTATTATGTGAATTCTCAAGTATATCAAAAAGGCTCTTGAAAAAGGGTAACTATATATTAAAACAGAGCACCTAAATAATCATTCTCAAATATTAATTATGCTAACTTAGGTAAAGATATATAGTAAATAATAAGATATTACAATTTTGTTGGAGATAATCTAAACATATGGAAGATAAGAAACAAACTGTTGTGACAAAATTTTATGTTAATCAAAATATATAGCTTTGGATTACTTAGCGTATGAAATAATGTGGGTGAAAACTCTTTCCGGAGACTTTGGTTCTCATATCACTTAACTTATGACGCAATATTGTTATAAACTTATCATAACCAACAGTGCCAATAATCCTGCTTTTAACAAATGAACTAAACATATTGAAGTTAATTGCTATTGCGTACAGGATGTATGCTTTCCAAGAATATGGTCACCTATCATGTTTCCAATTTTGAACAAGTGATGGATATCTTTACCAAAACTCTGGGTAACTCCTTTTTCTCATTCATGTAACAAGCTAAGGCTAATAGATGTATATGCTCTAACTTAAGTGAAAGCATTGATGAGTGATAGTATTAGGAAGGTTTCTAGTATTGAAAAGTGTTATATTAAGGATATTTAATTTTATATCTTCATAATTGAGGATATTCTATTCTTTATTATTATTTTTCCTCCTACATGTTTATATATAGGCTCCTATTTTCAGTTAGTAACACATTGAAGAGATTCCCCTTTAACACTAAGGGTATCTCAACTGTTCTCAATAAGGACAGAAAGAAATGGAAGCATTTTTGAAAAGAAAACACGCTTGGGAAGATAAAAATCAAATAACTAAAGCACCGACTGATTGAGTTTTTTTTTGGGCCAATAGACAAACATGAAGCAGTCAGAATACTGGAATGACAAATTAAAAGAGAAAAAAGTGGCCATACTTGGGAAGATAAAAATTAAATAACTAAAACACTGACTAATTGAGTTTTCTTTGGGCCAACAGGCAAACATTAAGCAGTCAGAATATTGGATGACATATTAAAAGAGAAGAAAGTGGCCATATTCTACGCCCTTGAGTTATCAAATTCCCATTTCATTAAATTTACTGGCATTCCATTTTAAATGTCCACGCCCACTGCCTTCTACTGTCAAAAGCTTTATATCCAAATCTGGCTCAAAAAACTTGTTATAGCAAATTGTAAATAAGGAGCAGTTTTCTTTTCATGAAGACCTCTAGTCTTCCTTGTTCATGCTTACTAAACTGTTATTTTATACCAGAAAGATTGTCTCAGTGGAAGATATTCCCATAGAGAAAGTTATTATAAAAATCGCAACTACATATGGACGGATTAACGATTAAGAAATGAAATTTCCATCACCGGTGAATACTGGGCACTTAAATTAAATTTCTTGAGTTAAATAACATATCACAGTTACATACTAAGTAAACTAACCTAACTAAGTTATCTCAAAATATGAAGAATTGAATCAAAATGACTCTGTCAAATACGAACTTGTTAGCATGGTGAAAAATGAATAATCAAGGTTGCATGCTCTAAAAGCTTTTGTTCTTATGAACATGTTTGAAAACTAAAAGATATCTTAGTAGAATAAAATTAAAAAAGAAAAAGGATAAACAAAAGGTCGTAAAAGTAAAAGCCGTGAAAGCAACAAATAAAACTAAAAGAATAGGTTTCAGCTACAATGGATACAACATTGAATCTAAAAATAGATGGGAAACAGAGGAATAGTAATTAGGTTTTCCTTATTATGAATTCGAAGATCACAGGATTGATTGAATTATGGTAATAGACTCTTCACTAAGGCAAAGGTGACGCTTCAAGCCTAACCCTCCAGTTGTTTCATCCAAAAAAAACTATCTTTATTATTATTATTATTATTATTATTATTATTATTAATTTCTTTTAAGCTTCTCATTAACAATTATCATTTAGTTTCAAAAAGTATTTGATTACATCAATCCAGTTTGATTTTGCAAAATCTCTCTGTACAAAGATAATAGCAGTTGTGAAAAACAAAAAAGAACGGATATAAAGTCTTACCTTGTAGTAGCTCCATTCAGTTTTGTCACCAACAGTATAAGAAAGAGGGTTATCGCTGCAAAATGCGATCTTAGCGGTAGAAAGGTACAAGGTTCCCAAAACAGGTCCAGCTGATGTTGACAAGAAACATGCGTATGCCTTTTTAAACTGTTCTTCAGGAATTGAATCAAAAGTTTGTCGAAATATCTTCTCGTAACCACCTTCAGCAATTATTTTAGTTCCTTGAGCTATTCTCCCCATAGCAGCATCAGCAAAGCTAGGTCCCGTTTTCACTGCGTTTGAGAATCTCTTTCCCGTCAGGCATACATGAATAAAAATGAAAGCATAACTTGGAAAATCCTGTTTTAATTGTTAAAATAATAAACCTATCTTATCATATGTTCATAATATTTCTTTTAGCAGTAATATATGCATTATGATGGGAAAATAGGTAAAAGTGGGACCATATTATGATAATATAAGTAATAAAAATTCCATGGAGAACTTGCACGTCATGATTCATCGACAAGTTAATTATACATAGGTCTTCAAAAAGCAAAAGCTAGAGAGGGGATTATTAGCAAAAATATTATGTGATTTTTACTAGTATATCACTCTAAATGTATAATTTACCAGCAAATCAAATAAAGATATTAGCAAAAAAATCTCAAAATAGCCTCCAAACTATTCGTGTATGACCAATTTAGTTCAAAAGTATGATGTTGCCCCAAATTATCACTCGACATACAAAAATAATCCAAAATTGTCTCCCATGATATAATTATGATATAAAACTGATCCCAACTTAGTCTCTCGACTTTACAAAATTAATCTCAATTTAGCCCCAAAGAAACCATTTGGGATCAATTCTGTATAATCGAGGAATTAAATTGGAGCAATGTTATACTCTTGAGTCTAAAATTGCTATATACAAATAGTTGGGAGACTAATTTGAGATTTAAGTTAATATATTACTATTAATGCACGTCACCAAATTCAAACCGATATGGAAGTCAATTCTAACTATCATATTTTAACGTCGGATGAGTTAACTTCCTTCCGTCATAAAATTTCCCTTGGGCTTAAGACCCCAATCAACTTGATTGATCAAATCTAATCAAGAATTGGGTTGGGGTAAAGCCTATAGCCCGAAGACTAAATTTCCCACCCTCCCGATTATACTTATGTGTTGATTTGATCTTGATTTCAGTCACAAAAATGTTTACTTCTATTATTCAGATAAATTTAAGAAGTATTTCTACTTAATTTAATGAAATTTTGTTTTATGTTAAAATCTTAGAATGATGGTATATTTATAAGAATTGATAAATTATGGTGATATAATTGTAATATTAAATTTTGGGCAGTAAATCTGTGAAATCATATATGGTTTGATAGATGTGTGAAGAAATCAAGGAATCAACTAAACGTTAAACGATCAAAGTCTGAGAAACAAAAGTGGTAAGGGAGCACGGATGCTTCTTCTATATTAGAAACTCCCCTAAAAAGATTTGTTGTACAAACAGTAAAATTACTGTTCGAGACAAATTTAAGCCAAATGAGATATCCAGAAGCAAAATCTGATTGGAGCTTTCCGGAGCCAACAGCTCTCGGTTTTGATAGAAATCCGGGAAGTGGAGAGAGAGGAAAAAGCAGCCGCCCTCCCTTGTAACAGACAGGAAAATGAGGGAAAAATAGTAAACCGGTGAAATCATATATGTTTTGATAGAAGCGTGAAGCTAAGAGTTGGAATTTAAAGTTCTCTGATTTCATAGCAAGATATGGTACTATTTATAACCAAAAAAAAAAAAAAAAAAAAAAAAAAAAAGCAATTCCTTGCAAATTGTAAGAATCAGAGAGAAAAATCTTTTTGAAATTCAAAAATTATTAAACTTTATCCTAGATTACGTCAACTAATTCCTAAATACAAGGAAATACCTATTCAAAAGTATCAACACTTCAAAATTGCAATTATCTTCTTATGCAAATTGAGTCAGTCTCTTGAGAAAATTTGAATGCATCCAATTTTGTGATCAAACAATCTTAAAATGTCATGAAAGCATGCATGTTACCAGTTTAAATGGTATTCAAAAGAATGGACAGTTAATCTTATACATTTCAAGGTCATTATGTCAAAATTTGACTGGGAATAGAATGTATATATGTATATATATACATATTAAGCGAGAAAGAGAGAGAGACGATGGTTAGGGTACCATTCATTTATAAGAATAAAGCCACCTTATCCTTCTACATCTTTTACCATCCAACACAAATTTGAAAGCTAAACATTCAAAGTAGCAACCTTTTTCTTTTTAGGTAATTTGAATGTTAGTCATCCAAACCTTGTGAGGGATGCCAAAAGATATATGAGGATAAATTTTGTCATTCTTAATCAATCGTTCTCACTTCTCTCTCTTAGTATGTGTGTATGTATGTATGTATATATATAGTTTATTTTCTTTAATTGATATATAATGACTCCATTCAAGTCAATAACTATCCAATATCAAGGACGCTCAAATTCCCATGTTGCTCTAAGATATTCAATATCAACTAAGATAGCAGCCTTCCTACATTAGTTGCTGTGAATGGAGGAAACATTTCAAGATGCCTGCAGTTTTTATTTATTTTAAAATAAGAAGAAAGGCAATTCAGTTTAGCTCCTACGAAAATGCTCTTGAAAGGCCATCTTTGTCATGTTGAAACATAAAAAGAATTTTAAGAAGATGTTCTAGAACTAGAAAGACTAGAGTGAAAACTGATAATACTAGAAAAACAATGAGCAGTACATATAGAGTATGAGGTTGTAGAAAGTAAGTTTAAATGGTTTAATCGTATACAACAAAGAGATGAAGATGCATCAATAATCCAAGTGAAAAATTAATGTACAAGTATCAGAAAATAAAATGAAAAAATACTTATACAAATAAGAATAAAACCTCAAAACAGTAAAAAATAATGCATAAAGGAGGAGGATTCATGAATCCAACAAAACAATCTGGGATATGGGCCAATGATAATGTTGGCAATTATGATCCCAACTCCCAAGAAAATCATTTCCTACTGGGTCGAGGATTAACTATTGAAAAGATAGCTTCCACAATTGAAAAAGAACAATATAAGATGTCTATCACTTATTTTGGACATACTGTAGAACCCAGGGGGCCAAATTCTAGACTCTTCTCATCAGTTCGAATGGATCATGATCGATTAGAGTGCTTGATGGTTGCACATTGGCATATGTAAACTTCGTAACTATTTGAGAATGCAAAAGTGAAGAGCACTTCCTTCTTTCCTGTGGGTGTTGCATGCTTTGATTCTATTCCTTAATAGAAAAAGGAACAAGAAGGTATCCTTTTGCTTTAAGCAGTTTATCCCTTAATAGACCATCTCACTTGGAACCAAGAATGAGAAATAACACATTTCACCCAAAATCATGTTTTAGCATGGCTAAACATGGTGCGTGCTCTCATAAAACCATATATCATAACAATAAAACAAAAATGATTTCTAATATCCTCAACAAAATAAGAAGGGCGCTACCCAATATATGAAGTTTAAGTTTGTGTGGGCTTTGAAGAAGGGTTGGTGCATGATGCTCTTTATATGATAGGATTTCATATATTTATATTATAACTGCAGCCATGCCACAAGTTGGTAGGGTGGAACACCAGAGGCCCAAGTTGTGCACAATACAAAATTAGATGGAAAAACTCATTTTTTTAGGGGACATTATTAGTATATTTGGAATAATTTTTGCCCCACTTTCAATGTAGGACTAATCTCCACTCTTATGCAGATCTTAACAATCCTCCATTTACATGAGACTTCCTAAAATTGACCGTCACTCTCTCTAAAATGAAAATTTTCACTATTAAATCTTATATGCCAAGAGCTCATTAAATTACACGCAACATGTGTGGGAGTTATCCATTCTTAAACCTTGCTCAATTATGATAGAATACAAAGAACCATAAGAGCTACATGCTGTATGAAAAACTTTTCATCGCCTCAAATATCACTTGTTTGAAGGGTAATAGTACCTCTACTGGAGTCTGTAGGCATAAGTTGAACCAATAACAATAAATGAAATCCAAGAACCTGAAACTTAAAGCAAATGTGTGAGAGTTGCTAGTGGCATATTAGGAACTCAACTTCTATTTTACTTCTAATGAGAGACTAATCATAACTTTTATATTTATCTTAAGATTCTTAATACTAAATGTGCACATTGTTTAGTTATAATTTTTTACACTTTTTTCCAAAGGAAACTAAATGTGTTTTAAAAATAGAAGAATTCTTTGTTATTGAAAATCAACCAAGGGACCATTTCATGACAGTGAAGTCCCACGACAGCAAGCCATCAGAAAAGCATGGAAAAGTATCAATTAACAACCCAATTGCACGAACAACAACCCTTACTTGATTTTCGGGCATGATCATAACTACATGTTGGTCCTCAATCTCTTTTTCAATTTACAAATAATCTTAATTTTTTAGGTGTGAAATAGCAACTTTTCCATATGGCGTAGTGCCATCAATTAGTGTTTAATTCTTAACCTATCGAAATGCACTTTTAATTAAAATCTATCATTGACATCTCTATCAAATCCCAAAGATATTTGGATTTGGTAGTATTTGCAGGCTAAACTAGTATATGCTCTTGCCAAAAAATAATTTAAAATTCCAAAACCAACGGTTCAACTTTTCTAGACATGAAGCAAAGTGATGCAAAGTTCCTAGATAATAGCATTAATCTGACCTAATTTATTAAGTGCAACAATCATAATCATCATCAATATTAGCCTTATCACAACTATTTGGGTAGGTTTTACAAATGTTTGCTCTCCATTTATCTAGTATTAATGTTGCAAGAGGTGTTAAACCTATTTTGCACAAAATACTTTCAGTCTACCTCTTTTTTTTGGCTAATTATTGTTGAGCTACGTATAATACCCAGAGAAAATGAAACGAAAAGCATACCTCGTATCCCATCGAATGAATCCCGTAAAACCCGCCCAAAATCCCGCCGAACCACTGTGCATTCAACGCCGTTCAGGGATTCCTGTTCGCAGAGCCTCGATCGCTGATTTTTTACGCCTTTAAAAGCGGACCAAACGAAGCCAAAGGGGTTGCTCCTTCCTCTCTTCCACTTCACGATTACCGAACTCCTCTATCCCACGGCTAAATCCTGATCTTTTTTGACCTACAGCCTAACCCCATCGCTACGTTCTTCCACCTTTCGATCCATTTGGTTCACACACACAGAGAGAAAGCAAGATAGGGAGAG